CAATGTCAGAACATTGCGTGATAGAAGAAAGGGCCCCAAGAAAGCAGTTGCTTTTTTGCGCCATCGAGTCTGTCAATGCTGCTTTGAGAAGAGCTCAGATTCTTGATCGATTGATATTCAGATGCTGAGGCTGATTTGAGCAACATGTGGCAGGACCAGCTCATTGAATTGACGTCTGATGAGCATTGGTTAGTCAAGCATTCTGATCACTACATTGATGTTTCTATTCCAAAGTATGATGGTGGTACTCATGCGAAGAGTAGAAGTTAGATACAGCCGGACAATTGGTAGAGGTAGTGTATAGTTCCAATGTCCCAAAGTGGTTAGTCGCACTCGCTCCCGACTCAATCATGCGCCACATATTTATGCCTGAGGCATTAAGGGAGTCGACGAATGTGGCGCCAGCTCCGCGGGCGGTCAGAAAATTTCCCCCGCCGCGCATTGGCCTGGGAAATTTCCCTCTTGCAGCAGAGGCAGAAACTCCCTTTCTTTCCTTCAATCTTATTTTATTTTTTTAAAGTGGTTCTGGACAGATTTTCGTTCTGTCCACAAATTTCCTGCATCTCGTGCAACTGAAATACTCACAGGTGAGCATTCACTCCTACTCGATCTAATTTGCCCCCCATTCTTGCTGCACGCGGACATCCGATCATTATTGGCCAGGTAAATCCGTATCGCGGCTGCTCCCCCCGGCGAGAGATTTCGAATTTATTGATGCTCGCTTACCCCTACCCATCCCCGCGCATTCTTGATAAATACTAATTTTCGGGTCTGCGGTTACTGATATCTTCTCAATTGCAGGAGGTGCATCCTTATCATCATCTTACCGAACACACCTCATATCCATAATATCACAACATGTCTGACGAACAAAAGCCCGTCGCCCAGCCCAATGCTGAGGCTGAGAAGGATGTCCAGAACGTTCTGGCCGAGTTGAAGGGTGAAAGCACCGAGGCTGCCGCTCCTGCTGCTGCCGTCGAGGAGACGAAGCAGACCGACGAGGCTGCCGAGGAGGCCCGTATCGTGGAGGCGGCCGCCAAGCTGGGCGAGAAGTCCGCCCAGGCCGAGGAGCAAAAGCAGGAGACCAAGAAGCAAGAGCAGCAGCAGCAGCAGGGTCGCGGAGGCCGCACTAACTACCGCAACAACGTCAAGTTCGACCCCTCCAGCCAGGAGGTGACCAGCGACCCCGTGCAGATCCGCAAGCAGGTCGAATTCTACTTCTCCGACTCCAACCTCCCCATGGACAAGTTCCTGCTCTCCAAGGTCGGTGGCAGCAGCAACCGGCCCGTCTCCCTCGAGCTCCTCCACTCCTTCAAGCGCATGCGCCGCTTCCAGCCCTTCAGCGCCATCGTCGAGGCCATCAAGACGTCCGAGACCGTCGAGCTCACCGACAACGACACCTGCGTGCGCCGCAAGACCCCCCTGCCCGAGACCGTGACCGAGAACCACAACCCCACCGTGGTCCGCGTGTTCGAGGACAAGGCCATGAGCCGCAGCGTCTATGCCAAGGGCTTCGGCGAGGAGGGCCCCACCACTCAGCTCGAGATCGAGGAGTTCTTCGCCCCCTACGGCCCCGTCAACGCCATCCGTCTCCGTCGCTCCTACGACAAGACCTTCAAGGGCAGCGTCTTCGTCGAGTTTGAGTCCGAGGAGAAGCAGCAGGCTTTCCTCGCCCTGGACCCCAAGCCCAAGTGGAAGGACCAGGACCTGCTCATCAAGAGCAAGAAGGACTACTGCGAGGAAAAGGCCCGCGAGATCGAGGCCGGCCGCATCAAGCCCAGCGGCGGCCGGGGACGTGGTGGTCACCACCGTGGTGGCCGTGGCCGCGGCGGCAACCGTGGCGGTCGCGGCGACAACAAACGCGGCGACTGGAGGGATCGTCGCGCCGCTGAGCAGAAGAACGGATTCAGCGACAAGAAGGAGGAGCCCAAGGAGGAGCGTAAGGAGATTCAGAAAGACGCCCGGTAAGTTCCTGTCTACATCCTTGCATATCCTCAATAAAAAAAAGTGACCACAATTTCTAACATTCTCCTCTCCAGGGGCGTCCCCGTTGTCCAGAGCACTACCGACGAGTCCGCCGGTCAGAAGCGCTCCCGTGAGGAGGACGGTGCCAATGGCGACCACCCCGCCAAGAAGGTGGATGCCAAGCAGGAGTAAAGACTTGCAGCAAAAAAAAAAAAAAAAAAGAGAGAGAGAAAAGAAAGAGACCTCGATACCAGTATTTTGTCTATTTCATGAAAGAGAGTGTGTGGGATGGGATGACGAGAGAGAGAAAAAAAAAAAGCATGGCCTGGGCTCAATTTTCTTTGACTTTTAAAAGAAGACCATACTATAATGGCGTTGTATAGTTACCCCCTATTTTGTTATCATTTAGCTTTTCTTCCAAATGGACTTGGGTTCCAAAGCATTTATGTCCGTGTCCGTATATCCAGTGGCTGTGGGTTCTTTAGTAGAAGTCTGACAGTTGTGGTATTCCAGCTCGATCCAAAATCCGCAGGATGTAGAGGTTTGTGTGTATATACAATTGACTGTTATCCCTTGTTTCTGTTTTGCAGCTTCCCTCCAAGTGATGTCTGGTTGGCTATATAGGTATGTAAGGGCTTGTTCAAAAGCGCTACGACGGACGTGTGAAAGGTGATTCCCCTTATTTCTTCTTCTTGGTCTTGTCGACAACATCGATCCATTGCGAGCGCAGTCCGCGCCGGGATAGTGCCTCCTCCAGCGCCCGTCGCTGATCACCCTGGATCAAGACCTCCATGACGCCTTTAGCTGCGCCCGTGGCCTGGGCGACACTGGTGCTGCTGGCGCATTTCTTCTGCAGCTCCTCGGCCAGCAGGCTGGGGATGATGCCAAAGACCTCCAGGCCGGAGACCTTGGTGACGGTCTTGGAGCCGGTGCGGCGCTCGAGGGTGATGGTGGCCTTGGGGGCGGCGCCGGCCTTGGGCTTGACGCCACCGGCCAGCGTCTGGCCCGGTTTCAGGATCACGTAGTGGGCCGTCAGGAGGGCGTGGTCGTCGACGAGGCGTTTCAGGAGGGCGTCGCGGGTGGTCTTGCCGCGGGCGAGGGTGCTGCGGTCGTCTGACGAGCCCGAAGCAAAAACGGTGGTGGCGAGGAAGGGGTTGAGGTTGACGATGCGTTTGTTGTGGGGGTCGATCAGCGGCGGGTTCTGCGACTGCAGGTACTGGTCCAGGTGGGCGGAGACGTCGGCGTACTTGTAGTAGTTGCTGGGGTGTGTGCTGGACAGCGCCGGGAAGATCGTCGGCGCCAGCTTGCCCGTCGGTCGGTACAGGATCTGCACGGTAAGCGTCTGGCCCACAGAGGGGTCGCTGTCGGAGGAGGCGATGGCTTTGCTGCTGGTCGGGGCGGCGCCGGCTTTGTTGCCGGCGGCGTTGTTCTCGGCGGCATTCTTGGAGGGCAGTCGGTAGGGGACGAACTGCTCGACCCGACGATCGTTGAAGTCGACGTCTAGAATCACGGTTTCCTGGCCGTTGCGGTCCTTGGATTTGACCAGGCGCTGCTTGTCGAGATATTTGATGAACTTTTTCACATTCTTCCAGCTCGTTTTCTTGACCTGGTAGAATTGAGCCTGTCGGGGGGTGTGAATGGGAAGGTAGGGCGTGATCATGTTCGACACCAGCGCGGACGGCTGGACTGGCAAGGACAAGCCGTGGTTGGGCGCTGAAGGGTTGTCTTGTTTGAGCTTGTATAACGAGTAAAGGAAGGCCTTCTCGAAGGCGTCGTCAATCTCTGTGCAATGTTAGCTGAACGCACGAAATGTTATCGGAAGAAGTAGCAGGCCTCTCTAACCTTTGGTCGATGGCTCTTTCTCCTCCACGACAGGCTCTTCCTCGACCGGTTGAGGTGCTTCAGCAGAAGCCTCGTCGTCTCCCGCAGCCTGAGCAGAAGCCTGCTCATCCAAGTGAAGATCATTCACTGCTCCCTCAATCTCCTTCGTCTCGCCGCTGTCCTCCTCTTCGACGTCGTCCCACCCTTCCAAGTATTCGGGAGCCGGTTGACCAGGCTTGGACGACGAACTCCAAGCCCAGAGCTCGTCACCCTCCCAGTGAAGTCCACGGACAGCATGACCCTTAGCGCCCTGCACTTCTCCCAGCGCCGAGACATCGATCTCACAGACCCCTACGAACCGCGGCACGGTATACCTGTCCAGATCCGCCACGGCGACGACCGCACCTTTAACCGCACGCTCGTCGAACGGCGGCTCGTTCGCGATGCCCGGAGTCATCAGATCCGCACCTCCCTGGAGCTTCTGCATGACCATGCCCGGAGTGTGCAGCAGAGGTACTAAGTCTGCGTTGTGCCATAGTGTGTAGACTGTCGGGTAGAGGCGCCCGTCGGCGCCGGGGCCGTGGTCGACCTTAAACCACAGGACGCGCTCGTCGCCTCCGGGATGCGCCCCCACGTAGACGGTACCCTGAACCTCGTGGAGCTGCGGTCCGGCCGTCGTCGTGAAGCGCGCGGACAGGCAGTTATCGGGGAGAAGCGCATTCCGGATCGAGGTGAGGTTTGGCGCCGTCGGGTTGGATGCGCTGCTGGGGGCAGCCGAATCGTCACCGCTGGGCTCGGTGGGCGCACTCGATGAGGGGATCTCGATCTTGTAATCAGCGATAATCTGATCGGCGATCTTCCTTCGATCAGAAGAGCGCAAGGGCGCAAGGTTCTTGATCTGTCGTCATCAAAATGTGGTCAGTGATGAAATTTGAGTAACCGGCTCGGAGACTCGACAGTGCGGGGGAGGGGTAAGTTACGGTGGGCTTTTTCTTGAACATGACGGCGGAAAAGAGAAAGATAGAAGGAGATAATATATGTGCCAATGTAGTAAGTCAACTAGTAAGTCAACGCCCTCCAACCACTCCAAGATCAAAGGCGCGCAAAAGGGAAAAAGCTATGTTATCCAGAAGGAAGAATGGATGGGCTTGTGATGGAGGGGAATGTGATGGATGGGTCTGACTGCCGCAACAACAATCGGCCGCTTTTCCCCGCCTTCGATTTGATTGATCATCGCGAGTCGCGAGGTACAGTACGTAACATAAAAGAACAAAACATAGTCATCCTGGCCATCCCATCAACAAGCTTGACATGATGTAAAGAGACATCTCCCACTACCCTGCATAGCCATATCCCCTTATAACTCCATACAATCTCTGGCGAAACAACAAGCAGTGCTAAAATAATCTCATCAGTATTCCTCGCACAATACAAACCCCCAAGTATAAAGGACGTCGGAACATACCCCAATACAGCAAAATGCAGTCCACCTTCCTGTAGAGCCTGCTACTTTTTCTGCTTCTGTTTCTTCTCCCACTCTTCCTGGTCCATATCTCTCAAGCCTTGCATGATCTGCTTGGCCTCCGCGAGGTCTTCCGGATCGTGAATTTTCAGGCCGTAGGAGAGCCCAAACTCCCAGAGACCGCTATAGCCGGAGTTCTTGAGCCACTTGGATTGACTCATCTGGTTGGGTTCGATGTCGCCGTCGGCGGGCTTAGTCCTCTGCGCAGGAGGCATATTGGAGAAGAGTTGCTCGGAAAGGCGGATGTTAGGCGAGAGAATCACAATCAATGTATGTGGCTAGGTGAGGTGCGTAGTGGGAAAGTGAAGGCAAGTGAACTCAGGCAAGGAACCACCCACATCATCATTTTCTCATTCACTCTGTCAGGTGCACCGCGGCTGCTTCCACTTTGAGCATGCGGAATGAAAGTCCGGATATAGATACAGAGCCAGATTCCATTGTTTTTTCTGTCTAAGGATCTCCTGCAGTTGCAATTGTAGCAAGTCTGGAGTCTCTACGATGTGAAAATGAATTTTGTCCTATCGCTACCTCAGGAAAAATTGGATTGGAAAAACGTGCTTCTGAATTGATTTTATAGATACATAACAGGATGCCCGACCCGTAATGAATAGAATAATCACAGTAAAATGGAAAAGCACAATGGCTACTTATATAGAAGATTGGAAAAGAAGCGTGATCGGTCTAGTGTTCACCCCAGAGCATAGCGCTTAGGCGGAGAGGTCACGGGCGTGCTTCTTCTCGCTAACCAACCAGGTGAAGGTCTGCTTGAGAACGCTGAGGAACTGATCAGCGCTCAGAGACTCGAAGTAGCTGGTGAGGTTGGTGCTGGTGGACACGGAAGCACTGGAGCTGCTGGAGGCAGAGCTGGAGCTGCTGGGAGTGGCAACGTAGGTCTGCTGGGGAGCGCTACCGGTGACGGTGACTTGCGCAACCTCAGTGGAGGTCTGGTAGGCAGTGGCAGTATCAGTCTCAACAGCGGTAGCAGTCTGAGTAACGACGGAGCCAGCAGCAGAGGTGACGGAAGAAGCAGCGCTGGTAGCGGCGGCGGCAGTAGTGCTGGAGCTGCTAGAGGCGGCAGCGGAGCTGGCAGAGCCGGAGCCGGAGCTGGAGCTGGAGCTGGAGCTGGAGGAGCTGGAGGTAGCGTTGTACATAGCAGGTCCGGGAATATCGTAGGAGGAAAGAGACTGGTAGATGTTGACGAGGATACCAGCATCAGTGTCCTTGTACAGGCTCTCACCAGCAGTGCCAGAAGGAGCGAGATCACCGCCGCCAGTGACCTTCAAGTTGAAGCACTGAGGGTAGTTCTGAGCACCATCCTTGTTACCAGCAGAGTGAAGGGCAATGATTTCGTGACGGAGGACGTAGTTGCCAGCCGCAATGTCAGAGGGGATGGTCACAGTCCAGCTGTTGTTGTTGGCGATCAAGTTATCACTGGCCCAGGTACCGGGGACGTTGTCGTCGTTGATAAGACCGCTCTCGTCAATCTTGAAAAACTCGAGGTCGGTCTTGGTGACGCTACTGCAGTCACCATTGCAGTTGGCAAGGTAGGTCAGGACAGGGCCGTGATGGCTGTCGGGCCAGGTAGTCCACTGGAGCTCAACAGTACCACCGGCCTTGACCTCAGCAGAGATGGCACCGGGCTTGGCACTCTTGTGGCAAATGATGTCGGCATCAGCATACTCGCTACCGTCGACGAAACCCAAGTCGGTCGCCTCGGTAGACCATCCAATGGTCTCCGGGGGATCGCTGGAATAGGGGTAGGAAGTGACAATGTAGCCGCCATAGTAGGTTCCGTCGACAACAGCACCCGACACGTAACCGTGGCCAGCGACGAGAGCGGCCGAGCCGAGAATAACACCAGCAAACTTAGCAACAGACATTTTTCGATCGACGCACAGCGTGAAAGTTCTTGAAAAGGATGGTTTGGAAAGAGTGACAAAGGCGGTCTTCAATCAATGAAGCCTGGAATGAAAAAAAAGTAAGAGAATGGAAGGTTCGGGGACCCAAGTAAAGAAAGGAATGAGAAGCTTGGTGAGAAGAATGAAGAAGCTCCCAAAGTGGTGATTTGACGCCTTCTTATATCTTCTTCGATTCTCTATCTCATCGAGGCTTGGCCAGAGCTCAGACCGGATAACCCCCGAGGCCAGAAAGATGAAAGGTTCATTGCAGCCGGCCATGCTACACGTAGATTGCCTTGGCACCTGTCAAGTTTCCACAACCTGTGCGGTTGTCGGATGCTGAATATTGACTGAGATAGGGTCGCCGCAGCAAGGCGAGTCTGAGATTGATGAAAGCCAGGCACCGGGCCACTAAGCGTCGACACGGCGGTGGGGTTCCGGCGTCAACGGTCGAGACATTCTCAGGGACAAACACTACTTTTGACTTAGCGCTACTCGGAGAGGAGAGTCGGAATGATACCAGAACGACCCCGATGGATATTAACTACTTACCTTAGCGGGCGAGTGGAGCTGCAAGCGCCGGTGCTCTGGCGGCAAGTCTGCGACAGAGCAAGTTTCAACGGGGAGCCAAGCTGCTCCAGGTCCGCCCTGCCAAGAAATGCCATTTCTAAAGAGTCGCAGAATGTGTGGACCAACCGGGTATTGAACCGTCTAAGCAAGGAAGCTCCGACTTCACAAAGTTGTAGGAAAGCTTGGAGGATGAAGCGAGCGGGCGGGTTGGTGATGATGGTGATGGTTTGCTGACTGCTGACATGGAAGCTCTGAAGCTACACTACAAATTGGGAAGCCACGTGCCATGCTGCCCTACCGACCGATACTCTTAGGAAACTTGTACCAATCTCGACTTTACAACACTCTTCCCTCATGACTTTAGATCAAGAATCTCTCAAATACCAATTGATTCTATCATCACAAACTTACTTCTTACTGGTATAATGGTGGACGGACCATGAATGAAGGCTCATGGCTCAATGGGCAGAGTACTCCGTACAGTCTAGGTTCATCCTCGGCCTGTGAGCCGGCGTTTCCACCTTCCCGACTAAATGGCGCCGTCTAGTCACATACTAATTAATTAAAGGCGCGCGATCCATCAGGTAAGTCGAGATCGAGACTTTCAATGGAAATTGCAAGGAGGACTATTTGACGCTGTCTTGGCACTAGAATCTCCTCCATATAAGACTGTATCCCGATCCCTGCGTCCCCATGTTTCTCAAAGAAGCTGGAGGCTGGAATCTCAGGTCTTCTCGGATATGTTCCGCGCCCGTGCTTCTTGCCACGCAACGTCCAGCCTCATCTCTAAAGAAAGTATCATCTAGATGCTTGGGTTGTAAACATGGGTATGAGGATAATAGCTCAGGGTCTACGGCTAAATGCAGGGTCATGCGGCATGCACGGGTTGGTAGCAGCTCGAAACGTCTGATATACAGAGTAACTACCCCTACCATGCTACTGTCGTGGGTCCGATCAGTGCCTTACCCACCCTTCTCGTTTGCATCTTCCAAGTGGACCTGCAGATGCATATTTGAAACACTTTTCGGGAGAGCATCGACCGTTGCTTAGGCTGTTGTGCTCTGTCGTCTTCATTTCGGCCAACCAAGCTTTTTCTGAACGACGTGAGGATGCTTGTTTCTTCTGGAAGGCTGAATGTCTCATTCGCACAGTTTACCAAGGAGAACAACTGAGATAATCAAGTTCAACCAGCCGCAAGCTGTCTCCCTATATTGAGCTTGAATTCACAGGTTCCTAAGCGCCGGACATCGCACAGCGGGAAATAAAAAATGCTTTGGTCACCCTCGTTTGACGACTTTTTGAGCTGCATATGAGCAGGAACTGCAGACTTTTCGTACGACTATCACTTCTTATGATGACCTGCGATAGGATCGTACCTTCTGTTGTAGTTGAGATTGGGCGAAGAACAATCAAAAGCTCAATGTGTGACCCTCTGGTGCTTATATTTACATGTGCAATGACAGCCGTGCTGCATATAGTATCTCCCTCTGTAAAAATACATTCTTTGTTCTGATTATGGTTAACAATTGTATCAGGTTGCTCTGCGTCCACCATGTGGTCATGCGCTCTCCGTTTGTGGTACTCAAGCAAGACGGAGTAGGGTAAGACAGTATGGACGTTCTACATATGCCCCTGCAGCTTGAGATCTTGTACACCGCAGGGCCGGCTTATAGCCCATGATAACCATTGGCTCTACGGATAGAGGGTACGCTCCTAGCTTTCAGTACAAGGAGGTCGTGGGATAGACTAATGCATGCTATGTTGCCGCCACACCGTTGTCCAGGCAGAGGGTGCTCGTAATCACAACTTATAGTCGCGGGTTTCGTATTGTTTTGCCTCATCTGGAAACAAGAATCTATCTCGACAACATGTCTTTACATAGTGGAGGGAATACTTCTTAGCCCTCAAGAAAGGCATGACACCTATCATTAGCTGCTTGGTTAGTATGATATATTTCCATCAAGAAATCCACTTTATCAAGCAATGATTAGTGCCTCTAGCGCTAACCGAAGGCAATATAGGATTCTCGAATCTCAACCCCAGTACTGTATTACTATGCAGCGCGAGGGACCTCTGGCGAAAATGTAATAAGGAATTGGTAGAGGAGGTTACTGCCAGATGTTTACTATTTTCTCACCACGGACCTACTAGGTAACCTGATAAGCAGACCGGTTCTAGAACCCGACCAATGCAGCCTGACTATCCTACCACGTCCACGACAGCGATAGGCGCCGCCCATCTGGGGCTGGATTTAGGTGCAGCTGGCATTCGTTGGTGAGGGGCTTTCCGGGGATATGAGCTACTAGTGCGTCATGATAACAATAACTAGACGCTCTATGATTAGCTGCACAGGGTCCCTACAAGACCTGGCTTGCCTGCGATTTTTTCCATCTTATCATCCCCGCACGACGCAATCTAGTCCGGTAAATGTCAGGAGGACTGGCACACCGTCTGGCCTGAAGCGTTTTCGCTCGTTTGCACTTTTTCTTGGCTGCGTAAGCAATTTCAATGTCTGACAGGCGATGGCGCAGTTCATTGATTCATTAGAAGCATCTTACTTGCAATTTACCCATTGAATCCAATCTGATGAGACAGAGCTGGCGAAGTTCTTTCTCTTTAATCGGTCAATGTCTCCTACTACTCTCATTGCAAGAATGCTATCCTAGAGTGGGACCTCGATCAAATTGGTGATAAGTGCACAAAGCGCCGATCGTGAGGTCACTTGTGTAGTACAAGCTCCTTTTCCCGGTAAAGAAACAGAGCTGTGAAGTGGTTTGAACCTGAGCCCTACTACGGAGTAGTAAGCTGAGCCAGTGATGGACCAGGAATACACTAACTTTGTATGGACTGTCCGTTTTACACCGGGAAGGGATTGCGGGATGGATGGATGATCTTCCTCGGTGAGCACACCCATTATTGTTTACTCCACCTCCATGTCAGATTGGCAGGCTGGGAACTTATTGATCACTTACATACTCTTTTGAGCAGAGGATACTAGATACCTATGTGCTAAGGAACAGTGCTTGGACTGACACTGATAGTATAGGTAGAAGTACAGTCAAGCTTAGGCAATTCCGGAGCCTTCTACTTCATGAACTGAGTTATGGTAGGTACACTGCGCATGGTTGAATCCGTCTTGGTTGGCGAGAAATATTACCTACCTTCAAGGTTACCTTAGTACGGAGTACTAGGTACGGATAGGTATTATTGCACTGAGTGCCCCGGCCCAGCCAGCCTCCCTTCCGCCCAATTAGAACTCGGCGGCCTAGTTACTCCGGTTCCTGGCTGTTCAATTCCTTGATTAGGATTAGTGTATTATTGCCAGTCTCACCGCCAAGGTATGAAATGGTTGATGAGTGGCAGTGGCACTGAACAGAACTCACTCGATAACCACGGACTCTGGCAGGCAGAAAGTCAGTTAGTAGACAATTCATATCACGCCTCCTCTCTCCCATTCCCTTTCTTTACCGTACCTACACATCCACACCCACATCTCACTCTCACCCTCCCCCCTCCACCCCCCCTTCCTCCGACAGTCTCCAGGTTTGGCTTATCTACGGGGCCTTCCGTGGTCGATCACTATTCTTGTTAGCCTCTTCTCTTAATTACTAAATTACCTGTCCCTTCTTGCGACCCATCTTGGGCACGACTGTCTCCCAAACCTTTTCACCTCGCTAACTCCGACCGTCGCTCTGATTTTCCTCCCCTTTCCCGCGGCCGCGCCTCCGCCTCCGCTCTCCCCCCCCCCTACTACAACAATTGCCTTTAATCGCTCAAGCCGTCTCTCACTTCACAGAGTCATACGCTTCCTCCTTCCTCTGGTTGGCCAGAACCTTCAAGTCCTACAGCAAGTCTTTTAGTCGCCCAGCCTGGTCTCATTTACGGATGCATTCGTGATACCGCTCGTTCGTCGACAATAACTGAGTGCGCCCGCCTACTGCGGCTCCAGTTTAGCCCCAGTCACTCCTTGACAATTCTACGCTCTTGGTTCCATTCAGAGTTGGACTAGGGCGTCAAGGCAAGGCTTAGCCTGGAAGCAGCCTGCGAGGCTTGTTAAGGAGGATCATCGGCGTTTCCCTCCTGGTCACCTGCGGGCTATTGTGAGGATCGAAGGATGGGATCGGCAGAGGCTGTCTCTTCACCTGCTTTCCCTTTTCTGGAACCTGTCGTAGTCGACGACGAAATGGGTAATCCCTATCAAGACACAGATATGGACTTCTTGGATTCTGCAAGGTTACAGGTTTCGTCCGAAGGCGCGGGCAGGGATTTCGATGACCTCTTCTCTCACGCTCCTTCCACCCGCCAGAGCCGCGACTCGGAGCCAACATGCTTGTCGCCATCTGAACTATCGCTGAAAAACTCCTATCAAGAACAAGATGCAATGCGACAATTCAACGTGGTCTCCGCCGAGTCCCCCGCCGAGTCTCCGGATGGCTCAACACCAAGTTCGTCTTCTGAGTCACCACGCAATCATCTTCGGAACCCGTCCGTAACGTCTTCTGCATCGGCAGTACATAGCGAAAACACTATAATGCCCTTTGGCTACGCAACGGAGGATTGGATGAACCCGGATCTCGCGTCGGTCAAGGAGGAATCGCTTTTTGGACTGGATCTTTCTCTTCCGAATATGGATGGCCCGTTTCATGCGGACGCAGACCTTGAATCAAGTAATAAGGCCATGGATGCAGCATTTGATTTTGAGAGTGCCGCCAGTAGCCCCAGTCCTCTGAAAGCCGAGACGACGCCGCAGCCGAAATATACGAGGAAACCCAAGTCTCAATTGCGAAGTACGTCGGGCGCTTCAGCTAGGCAATCTGCGTCTCCGGTAGGTCTTCATCCTATGTTCTGCGATTGTAACGAACTGACGCCCTGATGTGCAGATTCCTGGCACGGCCTTCTTTCCTCGAAGTACCAAGGAAGCATCTCCCTTCTCAGTCTCCCGAAGTATCAGTCAGGGAAAGTCTACGTTGGGCCCATGGGGCGGTCATTCTCCGTCATCGATCTTGGAGGAAAGCTTTGGTGGTATCAACATGAATGGCTCTCCCATGAACTCGAATCTGAGTTTTGGACCAAACAGCTTTCCTTTTGGCATCAACTTCGCGCCGTCCCCTTCTCCAAGCTTCATGAAACCGGAGCCAACACAGCGTCACTTCCTGACTGTCCACCCCACATCGCTCAAGTCGCGCGTGGAGACACAGATTCCCATCAGACTGACGCTTTTCCCGTTGCCGACCGGCGTGAAGAAAGTACGACTGCCTAGTCACACAATCTCAAAACCCAAATTCTTGGCGCCGTCGACCATCGAACGTTCTCCGGAGATTGTGGAGCTTTATACAAGCCTTGTCTGTACTAGCGCAATGCAAGAGCAGGACAAGCTCAAGAAAGCTTTCGCGAGAGCAAGAGGCGAATCTCGATACCGGTCCTCTAGCTCCAGCCCACGTGCTGCCGATGACACTCAGGACGAGGACAAACCATTAGATGGAGGAGAAGTCAAGATCTGTCCTGGTTGTATACAGCGTGAACGAAAACGGGCGTTCCGGAAGAAGCAAAGGAAGCCAGAGGAAGACGAACTTTTCCAGAAGGACGAGGAGAAGCGAGTCATCGTATTTAACACCAACGAGATTAAGGACTGGACCGAGCCCTCGAAAAACGCCATACCTGGCTACGGGGATGGTCAAACCCTGAACATTCCGGCTGGGGCTATGCAGGTCGAACTGCCGATGCGAATAGCATGTTATTGCAGGCATCAGAATGAGAAGCTTGGGTTTCAGTACGACCGCCTTTTCATATTTATCATTGATTTGTTCTTGGGAACTCGGGCTGACGTTTTCGATTTAGGGTAATTTTCACTGTTAAAGATCACAAAGACAATGTCATCGCTCAGGCGATCACAAACTCAATCATGATCACGGACGACCACAAAACCCATGCTCCTCCAGCTCCGCCAGCTCCTGGTCCCTCACCCTCTTTGCCGGATGGAACCCAATTGCCAGGCGTTGGGGTCTTTCCCTCGAGCCCTAGTGTTGAGACAGGCAAAGCGCCAGCTTCTACACAGCAGTCGAATCAAACGGCTTCAGCGACCGACTTGCAGGGACTCCAGCAACGTTTCAATTCGCAGTATCAGTTGCCTTCTGGCTCGTTTTCCCTTCATCAGTCGTCAGCCAACGGCACAACTTCAAATTCGCAAACACCGCGCAGTCTCTCGAGGCAGACCTCGCCGAATGACTTTCAGGGCCCAATGAGCAAGAGACGCAAGCATAGTAACTCGGGAAGACTTCCCTCAGAGCTTACCATGACCAAGTTAGAGAATACGCAGCCATCAGCTAACACTTCCAACTCCACGGCGCCCAGTACCGAACCACAGTTCTCAGGGGCCCGCGGAGTTGCGTCACCAGTGGAAAGGCCTTTTGTGACCTCGTCCGCCATGTCCAGCCAATTCCCCAATAGCCCTCCAACGCCGAACAGTGGGGACAACAATCCCTTCCTGAGTGTACACCCACAAAGCTTGGACAGTTTTATTCAGCAGCAGCTAATGTCTGCACCAAACTCCGCTCAGCCCAGTCGTCCCGGTACTCCAGGCGGCTCTAGGAACAACTTTCACGACCAGTCTTTCAATTTGTCCCTTGGTCCAAACACGTCTGCTCCCATGTGGCCACCGCTCAGTAATGCCGGAAACCGGCTGCCCTCAGTCATCCACAAGGTCGTTCCCGCCGAGGGTTCCATCACTGGAGGCACTGAAGTTACTCTGCTGGGAAGCGGCTTCTACCCTGGCATGGAAGTTGTATTCGGTGACACCCTTGCCACTACCACCACATTCTGGGGCGACAAGTGTCTTAATTGCTTGACCCCTCCTGCACTGCAGCCTGGAATGGTGCCAGTGGTGTTCAAGCACGAACATCCCACATTTGGTCAAATTCAGACGCCTCAACCTCTGATGCCGAAGCAGCAGCAATTTTTCCGTTATGTGGATGACCGTGAGCTGCAGATGTACCGACTAGCTCTCGGAATCCTGGGACAGAAGCTCGGCAGTCAAGCAGATGCGTTCCAAACGGCCCAGCAGATCATGGGTAGTGATATGAAGAGTGTTTTCAATGTTCCCCAGGATTTCCAAGGAAACTCGAGTGGACATCAGCGACAAGTGCCTGGGTATGAATCGCAGGGTAAATTGAGCGATCTTGATTCGAAGATGTTGACTTATCTCGAATTTGTCGACCTCGACGATAGCCCTCGTCCACCCAGGTACAACTCTCGCTCGGCGACAGGCCAGACGCTGCTCCATTTTGCGTCGTCCCTGGGACTCACGAGATTTGTTGCTGGACTCCTTGCACGAGGTGCCAACCCCGATGTGCAAGACAATTCGGGAAATACCCCGATGCATCTGGCAGCTTTGAGCGGCCATGCACACATTGTCCAGCGGCTGCGCCTTGCGGGGGCCGAGACCACTGCTCGCAGCATACGGGGATATACACCCGCAGATTTGGCGACTACATTACCCGCGCATCAAGCTGCCCTCATTCCTGCCCGCCACCGCTCACGTAGCGTTGGCTCACTGTCATCTTCGCGCCGCAGACACAGTTCTGCGTCCTTGCACTCACTTTGGGAATCCTCCTCAGCATCAGGCTCCTTTGGTCATGCTGTAGATGACTCTGACGACGAGGATGATGAAGAGGATGAGATTGAGTTCACCATGTCGCGGCGGTCCAGTCTGCATCATGATCGACCAGGGCCAGTCCCTGCGCCCGAACAGCCACCTCAAGCGGAAGATACGAGGCCATTCTCTCCCCCAGCTGCTCTACTTGCTTGGCGCAATCAACTCCAGACCCAAATCAACCAGTTCCAGCAAAGTGTGGCCAACGCCTTTCCCAACCTACCTGCTCTGCCGCCGATGCCTGCCTTACCTGACTATCAGGCCATGCGTCGTATCACCAATCTAGTCCCGCACAGGCCAAGTACTTCACGCTCGTCTAAGGATGGCTGGTGGGATATGCTTACCGGCAACTCGGCTCCCGACAATTCAGCACCAACCACGGCGGAGCTACCCTCTTATGAGGAGCTTTACCCACAGCAAGAGAACCAGGTCGGAGAGGATGAAGCGGCACGTCTAAAGAAGGCCAGCATGTTACAAGCGGCTACAGAGGCAGCCCTTGACCAGCATTTCGAGGCTCAGGCTAGCACCTCAGAGGCTGTTCTGACAAAAGCGGACAGCGAAGAGCTCAAAGACATTCGGATTGGTCGCAACGTGATCTCCCGCGAACAGCAGAAACATCTCCGAGAGCAGCAGGCACGGAGGATGAAGGGTCTTGGAAATGATCGCAACCTTTACTTCATCTGGGTAAGTCTCAACCTTGCATTTCTCTCTTTTTTTTTTTCATCGCTAATTGTCTTCAGATCCCTCTCCTGCTTCTGGTGATCGGTGCCTGGGTCCGTAGCTATGTCCCGGGAATTTGGGAAGGAATCTACAGCGGCTACGAATTTCTCAGAGCTCGCTATGCGCAGCACGTTCTTGAAGTCGGTTCTTGAACGATTTCACACCACCATCCTTCTTACTAACATCTTTTTGACTTGTTTCTTACCCTTCATTTGAGCTGAGGCGTTACTTCCACTGGACTGGTGCTATAACGGGCATTTGTCAATCCTTGTTTACTCGCGTGTGTGATGTTTTTCTATAATGACTGGATATGATGGGTCTATTTCTATTCCACCTGGTTGTTCCTGATGCCTTGTTCATCATATTCACATATTCACAAGCCTTGTCGTTTTACATGGGCCCTGTACAGAGACATTAGTTTTTTTGGGCGATTTTTACTCATTCATTTATAGATGTAATGGAATACAATGATGCATAACAATTATCTGAAGATGATATAGACGTATGTATAAATGTGAAGGACTTGGGGCCCTGGAATGCCAAGAGATGCCGGCTGGAGAACCAAAAGGCGGTCTTGCGGCCAACATCCGCCCCCATCATCATCATCACCATCACACTTCCTGTCCGATCATTGCATCCAATTCCTCTTTCCTTCCTCCGCACCCCGTTTGAGAAGGAAGATTGAAAAATCTTCAACTCCTTAGCTGCCCAGGCGGTATGCTATTTACAAGCCGCTTACCTTCGTCCGAATAGTGCTACAGACACCATGGACCCATCACCGCAGGGGGGCTCGAGCAGTGTCACCGGTAAATAAGCCCCGTTTCCCGCTCGAAGTACTTGTGCTACACGCTGCTCACTTCTCACCTCGCTGTTGCCAGTCGAGTATACCGATCCCTCCGGGCTCTTCCCCGACGTCCAGTCTGTTCTCGCAGAAAAGCTCCCGCTCAAGAATCTCCACTGGAAATCACCAACTCGCCCCGTTCGATCCATCGAGTCCCTCCGGATCGGATTCGTTCCCGCCCAGCATGAAGCGGACGAGCAAAAGACCTCCACCGATACGACCGGCACCGCAGTGACACATCGCCGGCACCAAATCCCTGGCCTGCGACAAACGCCCTACCTGAAGATCTTCCTTCTCCGATGCGACGACAACGACACCTACAAAGCTACGGCGCGGAGGGCGTTGCGGGATTGGATCAAGTCTCACGCCTCCACCTCACTATCCAACACCACCACAACCAGCCAAGAGAAGCACGATGCCTTCGATTGGCTCATCCTACACGTCGTGCAGGATGGGGAGAGCGCCGAGAAAGTCGCCCCAGCCTCGAAATGGGGACGCACCACTACCACGGTCTTGGAGAAGGTCCGGGCGGACTTCAATGGCGCATCCAAGTCCGCCGTGGATCGTGTGGCGCAGATCCGTCTGCCTAGGCCAGGAAGCGTCGTCAAGCCGCCGGAGCTGGCCGACCAGGTCGAGGATTTCGTGGAGAAGATGAAGAACGCGATTCTGTCGGCGTTTGACCTCCGCGTGGCACAGTATGAGGAGGATATCAAGGAGAAGGACTCGCAGCGCAGCTTGCCCGGATGGAACTTCTGCACTTTCTTCATACTGAAAGAGGGACTCGCGAGGGGCTTCGAGAATGTCGGGTTGTTTGACGACGCCCTGCTGGGGTACGATGAACTCGCCGTTGGCTTGGATACCGCAATCCATGAGCAATTGGAGGGCACCGGGGAACAGCATGGCAGTGCTTTCCTTACCCACAGCAAGGACTGGCAGGAGACGGCAAAACAGGCACTGGAGTCGGCGGGTGACGCTGTGCCAAAGGATGAAGATCCGGCTGAGCCAGAACCAGTACCCAACCTTGAGCCCGGGGACTTTCCTATCGACTCGAACAAGAAGCCCTATCGGGAGATGATTTTGGCCAGCAACATCTCGATCTTTGACTTCCGCACATATGTTTTCTCCCGGCAGGTCACTTTGCTTCTCCGGGCAGCCAGGGCGCCATCTTTGGCCGGTCTCGAAGCGCATGGGAACAAGAAGCAGGTGAAGAAAGCCACGAAGGCTGAGAACTTGATGCTGCTTTCTCAAGTCTGTGACAGGGCAAATGAGTTTATCAGTCTCGCGGCACGAACACTGAGGTCTGATCTTCACACGGGCTTGGCTGAAGTGGGTCACAGTGCCGCAAAGCAAGAGGTGATCGACAATATGGTGTCGTCGTGGGTTTATGCTGCTGCTTCTCAGATTCTCTCTCAGACCTTCACGCCAGCTTTGACCCTTCCGGAGACTACCTGCCACGTCGCGAACAGGGAATCAGGGGCTTCTAATTCCGCTGAAGCCACAGGGGAACTCCCTAAACGTACTAGCTCGCTCATGAACTCTTCTGCCGCTCGTTCTTCTCGCCCTGGAACATCGGAGGTCATGTCATCCGAGAGCCTCTCGGTTTATGCTCGACCGGGCTTGGAGGTCCCGAAACCTACCCCCAAAACCGGTTCCGAGCAGTTGGCTTCCGGGAGGGGAGATTTATACCTCATGGCTCGACGAGCTTTGGAAGGAGTATCTGGCAGATACGGTTGGAAGGAGAAGTGGGATGAAGATCGTTTACTATTCGATGATGAGAACAATGCAGAAAACGACATGGCGGAGGTCAGCCTGGATGATGAATCGCCGGAATCCACGAAAGACGCGCCGGAGCCAAGATATCTGTGCGGCATCGCTCTTCCGGGACTGAAAATCGCGCTTCGCTCAAGGAGAGCTTTTCGAATGCATTTCGAGGACCTGACAGATCAGATGTATCGGCACCATATTGCTGCTAACCGCACCAACTCAGCCCACGCCGCACTCGCCGATATGGCCCTCTTACGGTATCGGCTAAGTGACTATGGCGCGGCTGCTTCATACTTCCACCAGTTGACTCCGTTCTATGGCAACAAGCATTGGGCCGTTTTGGAGGGCGTCATGCTGGAAATGTACGCACGTTGCCTGAAAGAGCTGGAACGTAGCGAGGAATATGTGCGCACGATTCTTCGCCTTCTCGCCAAGTTTGCCGCTTGGACAGAGTCGAACCTGTCAAGCCGTCAGAAGACACTAGATGCCTCGCACATCTTCGCTGAGAATGCTTTGGTCTCTGAATATGTTGATGAGCTTTTCAAGGCCTCCGGGGCCTTGAACAAAGAAGTGTTTGCACCAATGACCGATTTCTTTGGTGACCTCAAAGTCCAGCCGACCATTATCCATTATGGAGACAGGGATGGGTTTCAATTACAGCTTGCCTTGAGGTTTCTGCTCGGCAAGCGGATTGATGTCAATTCGCTCAAGTTGCGGCTAGTCAGCGCCCTTGGACCTCAGAGCAATGAGCACTGGTTAGAGATGCCGACAGGGATGACCATCAAGTCATCCTCGACGAAGGTGCTTGTAGATTCAGAGGTGAGTATAATTTAATCATGTCCCGCTCTTAATCTAGGATGCTGACCATTGAAAGGTTTCGCTTCAAGGGAAATACTTTGTGGACCGCATCGAGATACGTGTGAGGAACCTCATCTTTACATTAGCGGGTGGAAGAAATGCAACCCTGCCTATTGGGTTTAGAGAAGCAATAGAGGCAGAAGAGGAAGACAGCCGCCCATACATTTATTGCTTTCCACCACCGGACGGCCTGCAGGCAAGGATCGTTTCCCCGCATCTCGTCAACCTGCAAGAAATGCGGACGCTGGAGCTGGAACTCAACAGCGGATGGAACGATATCAAAACAGGCACCCTGCGTGTTAGGCCAGCCACTGCTGGTCTGCGACTGAGAATCGCAGAGGCGGAGTTGGTCGAAGGCGAGATTGAAATCAAAGCCAACAGCGATTCAGGCACCATTGAGTTCAACGAACTGAAGCCGAAATCATTTGTTCGACTCCGGATCCCTTATACGGTGGAGGAGCATCATCCGATCTTGTCTGCAAGGGCAGAGGTGACCTATGAAACGGGCAGTGGGTCGTTTTCGTACTCTTCCATTCACAAAATCAATTCAGGTTTGCCAATCAGCGTCAACGTGCAGGATATTTTCAAGAACGACGTGCTGTTTTCCCGGTTTACAATCAGCCCGGCCTTGATGATCCCTCTTCGAATCTTGAGATGCAACATCCCTAGTTCGAATGCCTACGAGGTGCAATCAAGCATTGGTGACTCTGTGGCGCTAGATGTATTTCCCAAGCAGCCCGCCTCCTTGATATACAAAATCCGGCGGAAGCAGGACAATGTCTCCTCCCCTGGTTCCAGACGCTCACTCCGGCTGAGTGTGGATTTCACGTGCGTGGATGATGAGTGCATGGATGCCGTGGAAAAGGCATTCCACTCTAGCATCATGGCTAGTGAATTCCACCCATACAGCACGTTACTTACGGCCCATATTGTTGATGCGTTCCGCACCCAATTGTCAACCTCCGACATGGAGATCGTTGGCCTGGTGCGAGAGGTGGAAACGTTGGGGTATGCGAATGCTCGATGGGAAGGATTACTGGGCGCGCTGAAGGAGCCACTGGACGGACTGAAAACGTGGCTCAAGGATTGGCACAAGGTGAGAAGTAGCCAGCGCATTAGCCGTGCTTCCCTCGCACTCAAGTATACTGACAAACGCACAGAACCACCCGGTGATTCGTCTCCCAGCATCGCCCACTGTGCCTAATAGACACATTGTCATTCCGGTTGACATTCCTGAAATCCCAGTTGTCCATACAGCCGAGCTTCGCCTCACCAATCTGACGGGCCAACATCGACACGCCGCAGTTGGGCAAATGATCGCCGCCGAACTCACTATCCATCACACTCGGCGCTGGTGCTCAGCTGAACAACGTGAACAGGCCAGTGGGTCGCTCGAATTTACATATGAGCTTCATGCCAATCCCGACTCGTGGTTGATTGGCGGTCGACGTCGCGGAAACTTTACCGCCGAAGAGGGGGAGACTAAGACATTTGCGATCATGCTCCTACCCCAGAAGGCTGGCCACCTTCTTCTTCCCGGGCTAGAGATTAGAAGCTTTATACCACCACCGCCCTCGTCGTCGGGAGCCCCGCCGCCACCGATTACCCCTAAGCTGCAGCCCTCGACTGGAGGGGCGGCGGCAGCAGCAGCAGCAGCAGATCCCGGGCCAGCCACGAGCGGGCAGCTACAACGACGACCCATTCCTTGTGAGGTAGATTACCGTAACCACGGGGAGACGGTGTTGGTGCTACCGGATCTGCGGACGACGACGGTGAGCCTTTCCCTATCGGGCGGCAGCCATGGCGGAGCATGGTTGGTTGATTCCGAGCGACTCCATCAATCTGCAAAGTGTACGAGTGCATAGACTTCAACAACAACTTGCAGATGATTTTTAGAAGGGGGGTTCCTGGCCTTATGATTCGTTTGTACAGACATATATAGATAGATACCTACATACATACATATATCCAAGGACATGATCGCCGCCTTCAGCTTAGAATACTCAGTAGACATTATCGTTGGTATGTCAAGAGCAGCAGCATGCATTAGTAGTTACTCGGCGGGGTTGAACCCCAAGTTTCAAAAATTTCACGTCCAGCAAAACAGGTATCCTCCAAATTACAGCCGGGAACACAAAAAAAACCACGACCACGCCAATGTTCAAACTAAAAAAATACAGTTTAGCACCCCCGAGAGCGCCGCCGCCGCCGCCGCGCGCCCCTCTTTCCCCATCAAATCAGCACCACGCAATCGAATGACAAGCGGCCGCCCATTCGTCGTAAGTGATTTGTTTTTCAAGGTTGGCATTCTTTCCCTTCCCGATCCAACCACCTCCCGGGAAGTCAGCCCCACCAGCCTGGCCGGGGAGGGATGGATCTCAACAAAATCGATGGTGTGCCCCAACAGAAGTCTTTGACATGCAGGGATTTTTCTTTTTCTTTTTTTTTTTCAACTTACTCGAGCACGGCTACTCATGACTAGTGGTTTGTTCGGTATAGAGGAGTTCCGGACTCAGGTCATTTCGGCTTCATTTAATTTACTCTGTAGGAGTTTCTGGATTGGATCAAATTGATCTGATGATCTTGGGATGCGTAGGTAGTTTACATATACTCATACCGTAGTAGTGAAATTGTTGGGAGGTGATATTATCGGCAGTCAGCCCATCGTTCGCAGCATGTTGAACACAGCACCGTAGACAAAGCTCAGTCAGCTCTTATCACATGTGCTGCTCTTCTTGGTACTCCTGCCTGTAAAGCGTTGTGTACTGTCCTCGGTACACTGTGTGCAGAAGGGACGAAGCCGTTCGCATCGACGGTGGCAAGACGCAGAGAGGACTCGGGACCTCCAGGCTCGAGGAGCGGCAGTCTTCTCCTCGGCTGGGGCCAATCAGCATTCTGGTAGATCAGGCTCCTCGCTGACAGTGGTGGAAGCCAAATGGAAGCGCGAGGTGATCCACTTTTGAGCTGACTGGTCCGTAGTTCTTCAGAATCTTTGCACAGTGTCTTTTGCTGGCCCGGTCGGCGATGTTTGTTTCAATTGCATCACATGCTCAAAGTATGAGTATGGGTATGAGTATGAGTATGAGTAGTGAGCACCCTTTGCACGGAGAAGAATGCGAGGTGGATTACATGGTAGTTGGGGTTTTGCTATCCGATCAAGAAAGAGTCGAGACTGAGCCGGGTCGATCTGAGCTGAGCATGAGTCGTGCTGAGATGAGATTGGCAGAGACTGAAGGATGATCATGGCCATGGTGAAGCTGACCACTGCTACTAAGGTAGGCATTGCAAATCACCCCTCCAGGGAAAAGTCGGGATGGGTTTTCCGAGTGGCATGTGAAATGGGGTTGGTTCCCTTGTTGGGGCCAGGCCTGAGCAGTTTGATAAGCCTACAACCGCATCATCTCCGGTTGATTATTTCTCCACTCCCTCCCTTCTCCCTTTCTTCAGGTGTCTGTTTCAAGATGACAACTTCACAAACAAAAGCTCGGATCATGGAAGACGAATCAAACTGATGGCAATGCCACTCAAGAGAGATATGGCCTTTCAGCTAGTGGTGGCGGGTGCTTTGCTTTTTTTTTTTTTTTTTTTTTTCTCTCTTTGCTGAAGTTGAACAAAACCAAAACAAAAAAGACAAAAAAAGATGGCGCCAAGATTGTTGAGAAGCCAAAGTTCTGCGGGAGGATGTTCATTGGACCCAGTGGGGCGGTGAAGAGTCCACTCCCCTCCCCGGTTCTCGGTCCCTGGTAACGCAACGAACCATCAGTCGTACTTTTGCAACTTGTAATCTTGCAGATGCCGGCCGGCCACATGGAAAATTCCCTCGATCAGTGGTGAACAACCCCCCCCCCCCCAACCCCATCTCAGTTGCATCTCCCTCCACATCACACGGCGGCTGTATGGGGCGTTTGCGGTGAAGGAAACACCTGCAGAGGCGAGAATGGAGAACACCCCCCAAAAAGAACAGCTTCAGCCACCGCCAGTCGTACGACCATTAGTCAGACTTTTCTCGCTCTAACTACTCAGCCTTATCGGACCCGAGGTGGCGAGAGCTCTCTCTCTCCTCCATATCAACCACCTCGGCGTATAGTACTCCGTACAGTAAGTAGCACTGGGCTCGTGGCTGTGGTCATCAGAGACAGAGAGTCAAAGATCAGATCAGACCTGTGAGGCGCGGCGCGCTCATCACAGTAGGCCATGCATCTCCATGCATCTAAGCATGCACCCTTGAACCTAGATTCAGCCGGCACAGCCAGAATGATAGGCTCAGCTCCAACCTCGGCATTCGTGCACAAACAAGATTGTAAAGATCGACTTTCAGCAAATCCTTGTGAGTGAGCAGCAGTCCAATGTGCCGTCTCGGACGATAATACTAAGTGATGGGGCCAAGATGAAAGTGCACGGAGCAATTTAAGGCAAATTTGGCGATCGAGCTGAGAGCGGGATTGCAAAATACCAGCGGTGGTAACGGGCAAGATGGACTCCCAACCAATCTAGCCAATCCCGATTGTCCCAACTGATGCAAAAATTTCGAGCGGGAGATCCCCCGTACCACCGTGTTACAAGGGCCAGGGGGCGGCGATTGTTCTGTTCGGTTCGGTTCTGGATGCTGGCAAAAAAGAAGTCAGATAAAAAGATTGTTGTCTCTTGCCTCCCTTTCCTTACCTTCCTTTTGCAAATTACCTTTTCTTTTTGCCTTCTTCCCTTCGCTTTCCCCGATTGTTTTTTTCTTTCTTTCTTTCTTTTTTTTTCTTCCCTTCCACGCTCCCTGGTTCGCCGCGCTCCCCTCCTCCCTCCCCCGGGTTCTGTGTTAAACACCTTATTATCACGCCTTATTCTTCCTCCTCTTTCTCACCTTCTTCCTTCTATCGTTCTTCTTTCCCTTCTCACACTCCTCTTCTCCTCATTCCATCCCCCTTCCCCCCTAAGTCGACAAAAGGCTTTCCTGAGGTGGTCAGTCAGGCTCCTCTCACTGTCCCCTGCCTTGTTGTCAATTCCCCCGACCTGGTCGCTTTTCATTGTGTGGGAACCCCTTCCGTCCATTGCATCTCGGCTCTCATATCCTCCGAGCACTGCTTTGATCAATTGGTGAGTGAGAGATATGAATTTCTTGGTGGCCTGTTCTCGGGAATGTGATAAAGTCACAAAGGTCACCACGCATCGGATCGCTGGCTTTGCTAACCTCCTGTTGAAGCCCTAGTCTTCCCCTCGTATAGAGCTCGCAGATTCACCACCGGACAGCAAAGTCAGAATGTCCTCCACGGCTCTCCCCAAGCGCGTTGCGCTGCACCGCAACCCCACCACCGACTCCTCGGTGGCCAGCTCCATCGCCCCTTCCCCGATGGACAGCCCTCGCCAGTCTCCTTCGACCACCTCCCTGTCCTCGCTGGCCTCCGAGGCGGAGGCTCGCAGCAAGATGCTGGACACCTATGGCAATGAATTCAAGATCCCTGATTTCACCATCAAGCAGCTCCGTGATGCCATCCCCGCCCACTGCTATGAGCGCAAGGCCTTGACCAGTCTGTCCTATGTCGCCCGCGACTTGTTCTGCCTGGCCACCGTCTTCTATGTCTTCCACAACTATGTGACCCCGGAGAACATCCCCTCCACGCCCATCCGTACCGCATTGTGGGCCCTCTACACCGTCGTGCAGGGTCTGCTCGGAACCGGTGTCTGGGTCCTGGCTCACGAGTGTGGACACCAGGCTTTCTCCCCGTCTAAGGTTCTGAACGACACCGTTGGTTGGGTCTTGCACTCTGCTCTCCTGGTGCCCTACTTCTCCTGGAAGATCTCCCACGGAAAGCACCACAAGGCTACTGGCAACCTTGCCCGCGACATGGTCTTCGTCCCCAAGACCCGCTCGGAGTTTGCTACTCGCGTCGGCCGGGCCGTCCACGAACTGAATGAGCTGATGGAGGAGACCCCCATCCTGACTGCTCTCAACCTGGTTCTCCAGCAGCTGTTCGGATGGCCCATGTACCTCCTCACCAACGTCACCGGCCACAACAACCACGAGCGCCAGCCCGAGGGTCGCGGCAAGGGCAAGAAGAACGGCTACTTCGGTGGTGTCAACCACTTCAACCCTTCCAGCCCTCTGTACGAGGCCAAGGACGCCAAGCTCATTTTCCTGAGTGACCTCGGTCTTGCCATCACCGGAACCGTTCTGTACCTGGTTGGCTCCAAGTTTGGATGGATGAACCTTCTGGTTTGGTACGGCATTCCCTACCTCTGGGTGAACCACTGGCTCGGTAGGTTTTCACTTCCCTGTTTTTCTTGGTTAGATGACCGCTAACCTCAACCGCTAGTTGCCATCACCTACCTCCAGCACACTGATCCCACTCTCCCCCACTACCACCCTGATGTCTGGAACTTCGTCCGTGGTGCTGGCGCCACCATCGACCGTGACTTCGGCTTCGTTGGCCGTCACATCTTCCACGGCATCATCGAGACCCACGTTCTCCACCACTATGTCAGCACAATCCCCTTCTATAACGCTGATGAGGCTAGCGAGGCCATCCAGAAGGTCATGGGCACCCACTACCGTACCCAGGCCCACACCGGATGGACTGGTTTCTTCAAGGCCCTCTGGACCAGCTCCCGTATCTGCCAGTGGGTTGAGCCCACCGAGGGCGCTGAGGGCGAGAGTGCCGGTGTCATGTTCTACCGTAACACCAACGGTATCGGTGTCCCCCCCGCCAAGGTTGCCCAATAGATCTGTTCTCGGTCGATACATAGAACGCGCGTCGGTTTTTTCCCTCGACTCTCCTGATTAAAGGGGTTGTGTCATTTCTGTCTTGTTCAAATTTTTTTCCGTGGTGCTCTCGCAGGATCGAATTGGCCACGACATGATCAGCACTCGTCATAGAGCATCTGCTGCGAGTTGATCGATCGGCATTCGAGCGCTGAAGGCGTATATGGAGTGGAAGTGGGAGCAAGCGGGGTCGGGTTAATTGTGATTGTTGGATTGTTGTAAAGAAAACACAAAAGCAAAACACCCATTCTTTCTCAACTGGCCGTTTATCAATATCTTGGGATCCATTTTCCTACTTTTTATTACCTTCCAGATGTCCTCATCACTCATCATCTCGTGTATGACTTCTGAGCTCAATAGACTAATGTCTGCATCGTTCAATGTTTAGCATATTCATCCGCCGTGTTAACGCTTCGTCCGTCATGAACCGCTCCGAGCTCCAGGTCGCACAATGGTGTCCGTCGTTGTATATGACATGGAAATGATCAAACCAGCATTTTCCGAGCAAAAGTTCCGTTACTCAGTAGGTGAAGTAGTAGAGTGGAGACCTGATCAAGTTTATCGACATGACATGGATGACATGGCCTGGCATTCTAGACCGGCACAGCCCTGCAGATTTCTGATTTAGAGTCCTCAGCGGGGCAAAAGAATAGTAGACCAAAGTCTGGGTCGCGGGGGTTCCGCAAGAAAGAAAGCTGAGGGGTGGATGAAGGGAGGGGGGAGGGGGAGGTATAAGGGTCTTATTGGGACGAAATCCTTTATTCCTTTAAAAATAAAAATAAAAATAAAAATAAACGTTTCCCCCGTCCGCGGGCTTCCGCCCGTGCCGGATACTTTGGAGAGGGGTGCGGCGCTAGTCCGAAATAAGCGTGGGCATGAGGCATGAGTACTGAAGGTGTATAAGTGTGCACAGCATATACAGTACTACAGTGCCTGGATTTAAGAAGTCTAGGTCTGCTTCTTGGTTGGAGTTGGGGTTGGGGTTGGGGTTTATTGTTGTGTACCATAGTTGTGGTTGTTTATATGAGGGGATAATCAACGAGTATGTGGATACTCAATAGGTATAGGGTGTAGCGCATTGGATCATGCGTCTGTAATCTTTGAATATGTGAGGTTCAGTATGAACAGGAGGTATCTATATACTGTGATGCTGCCGCCTGGGTCCGATGTTGCACTTGTTATGAAGAACATCCCCGGATCCCCCCCTTCCAGATCTCGAACTCGACTTCTTCTTGGGTGGATGGTTGTTGGAGCTGCGGGAATGATTGGTCTTCTTCGGTCGGGTGATGGGTGCTGCCTCCTCCTCCTCCTCTTCCTCCTTCTCCTGCTTCTTTTCGACCTCCGGTCCATGGAGCGAAAACTACCTTGAAGGTTCGGCGGATGGTTTGCGGAGTTGTGCGTTGCGTTGAGGGGAGGGGGAGGAGGTGGTGGTGGTGGTGGTGGGTTGTTGAAGGATTCGTGGTGGCTGGGAATGGAGCAGTTGGGGCTTGAGGGCTTGTTGGGGCGGGTGATGGGGATTCTGGTTGCTGCGTGTCTGGTGGGGGGTTGGTTTTTTGGGGAGAGGAGGATGGAGTAGGATTGGGGATTGTGGTTGCTGGTTGCTCATCAGTAGCAGCAGCAGCAGTAGCAGCACCGCTGAACTTCACTGCTGCATCATCTGATGGCTCGAGTTCTTCGGGGTCAGAATCGGAATTGGCGATTTCTGCCTTCTGTTCTTCTTCCTGGCTTGTGCTTGTTGCTCCTGCTGAGGTTGTGGTGGTGGTGGTGGTGGTGATATCCAACAAAGCTCCCTCGTGCTCACCCTTTATGTTGGTGGGCCCAATAATCTGATCAGGGGCTTTGATTGCCTGCGAGGCATCGCGATGAGGAAACTCCTCATCATCGTAGGCGCCCTCAAAACCAAAGATTCCTAACGAGCGAGTCTCCTTCTTCAAGGCGATTCGACATGCGATTTGCGTCGACCACACCAGCCCCAGCGTTGGAGTTTTGGAGGTCGACCTCCACAACCCCGGGCCATGGCTCGGAAACAGAGACTGGGGGATGTCGCCCCATCCTGTGAAGAAGCGTTGCTGGTGCACGAGACTCAGGATCTCGTTGCGGACAGGGTTCCCGATGAGGTACGAGCCGTCGAACTGTTGCTGCTGCTGCTGAGGATCGTCGTCTGCGAGTGGGAATGGTGAGGAGGAGAATGGAGGCTGAGAGGACGGTGCGAGCATAATGTTGCCGTGGTGGTGATTTATGGGAGTGAGGTCTACGTTGCTGGTTTCGGCAGCTCGGGAATTGCGGGGAAGGGGTGATAATGCTCCACCACCTGCACCGGGTTCGGCTCGTGGTATTCGTTGTTGCTGCGGCTGTTGAGTAGAGGGTACGGATGAGTATGCGGTGGCACCACCAGGACGAAAGAGGTTCGATGGTGTGTCGCTGTCGATGCGATCCGAGACTTGATTGGCGACGACGATGGCTATGTCTTCGGCGACGGCGAGGTTGCGCAGCAATTGGCCCAATCTGGCGAGTTCGCCGGACCGGGTGGAGAGACCTGATAGGTTGTGGGAGGAGTGCTCCGCTCTGTAGTTGGAGGTGATGGAGTCGATAACCACCAGTCCAACGTTGTAGCGCTTGATCGCGACGGGGAGCTGGTAGTTGAGGATGTGATCTTGGCTCTCAAGGTCCATCGCGTTGATGGAAAGGACCCTTTCGAGGGAGGGGGCTTGGTCTTTGCTAATCTCAGAGAGGTAGGGGTGGCATGCAATGAGCTGAGAAAGTCGCGGTGTCGATAGCGGAGCTTCGGTCGAGATGTAGATCGCATTCTTCGCCAGGCCCCGAGGCGCAGGCAGCTGGACGGCCAGAAGGAGAGTGAGGAGGAACTGCGTCTTGCCGCTTCCACTACAATCCGCGTTAGTCCGTTCATGCCTTCTGAATGCGCATATAGAGTAGTGTGACAAGCCAACACACGCACCTCTCACCCGTCACTTCGGTCACGTAGCGAGTCGGTATCCCTCCATCGAGCAGTGCGTCTAACGTGGGGTCGAGCGTGCTGATCGCACTCCATTGCGACAGATCTAGCGTGCTGGCTGGGCCTGGAGCGACAGGGAGATCCTCACTGAGGCTGGAGCCTGGCTCTTCCGTGTCGGGGCCTCTGATCTCTTCGAATCCGACATCGTGATGAAGCGCTCGGATGATCTGAGTGGACAATCGGCGGACGTCGGCTGCAGGGACGTGGGCGCGTTTGGCGATCTCGAGGATGTCGAGGGTGATCAGATCGACGGTGGTGATATGATTCCGCTCCAGAGGAGGGAGAATATGGGAGTACCGTTTGGTTGGGAAGTCCGGGAGGACTGACAAAAGATCCATAAGCGTGAGAAACTCGGATGAAGCAGAAGTCGAGGCTGCCCGCCATCAACGGTTCCGCGGTGGCGACGCGGAGAAGACGCGGCCGCACGTGCTGCGCCATCACTAATTGGTCCTCCCTATTGGGATCATCACATCTAGATCTATGACGTTGATTATGAAGCGCGACCTCATCAACTAGATCGATTTCTGCTATTCTCGCTCGGTTTTCTAGACTTGCTATATGTCGTCACGATCATTCTCTACTCCTCGTTTCTATTTTCCGTCCAGCCTCTGAGCAGGAATGGGCACAGTAAAGCCGCAATTGACACTTTGGATTGATCAAGTCGAGGCCACCATCATACTGAACAGTCCGAGGTGGTCAATGACTGTGCTGTGCTCTCAACCCACGATTTGAAGCTATGTGGGAAATCTTTAGAGGAATCGTGGTGAGCTTCCAACATTCGGCGCAATATCAGTACAGGAAACTCTGCCAGCAGTTCTCAGAACTCAATGGTGTTTTTTGCGATCTTCAAAAGATCGTATATATCTCACCGAACAGAAGAAAATTTGCGCTGTCGATTCTTTATTTCTTTGACAGTGAAAGGGGATAGCTTGCCACTTGGAAACCGGCCTTTCCCTTCAAGTGAGGCTCACGACCAATGTACCCGTTTCAGCAGACTGTGGTATCTTACCCTAGAGAAAAAAGCCTCTAAGTTACCAAAAGCCTCATGACTAAGATCTCCGTGTCTCTGGGCTTGTGCTTGGCCCTCTTCAAGCCTCCTCCTTCAAGACGACTTTATGCAGACATGGACCCGATAATCCTATTCTCCCGGTACAGATGCTTTCCGGAAAAGCAACGGCTTGCGGCATCGACGCCGAGTGGGAGACGATTCGCTGGCCGTGAAACATGGAACGAAAAATCCCCCGATGAGCAGATTGGTGCCACCTTGGAACGCATAGCTTGCTGTCCTCGTATCCCAGTACGGGACGGACAGCAGTCCAGGACGGCTGAAACTAGGATCATCGGAAAGCCCATTCAGTCACCCAGTCCCAGCGGCATTCTTGATCGCAGGATTGGACATGATGCATCATCCATATCCCGGGTCGAGGATTATCGTTCGATGGTGCAGGGATCTTCGAGGATAGACGGATGAGTGTCGATAGTCATGTATCGCAAGTCGAACGCATCATGTTGTAGAAGGTGGATTATCGCACGGACGGCTTGTGCGAGGGAGCGTTTAACTCCTCTCGGGATCGGGAAGTGTTCCCGGTAAGTCTAAAGCTCCCTCTTCTTGAAGGTTGGAGCAAAGAAGACCAACCCGGAGAATATTGGTCTGGGGATATTGGCCCGGGATATAGATATGGGGCAGACGTGACGCGTTTGTGTTTCACGGGAGCTTTTTATGGAAACGTTGCCCCAGATCGTATTTCGTTCGCCCTACTTTTTTTTTTGTTTTCTCTGAATGTAACGATGGAGGTGAAGGGCAATGAGGGATGGGTATGCACAAATTACGGGGTAGAACCTCACGGGCTTGTAGGTAAACCGTGCGCATTCTAGGTTGGTCTACGGAGTAGCAGACTAGGAATGGGATAGCTGACATGTGCGTCAGCCTTATTCAGGTCTATTAGGACATTTACTGTTACTGTACATACCTCCTTAGTCACTTGGCGCAAATCGGATAGTTCCATGAAATGGGTGTGGATGAAAGACATTGATTGCATCATTCAGCTCTCCTAGTTGTGGAATAGGAAGTCCCAAGTAGGTCTAGGTAAGTGAGAAGCTTAGGTAAAATGATACCAATGACGTTGGTGATAATCTTTCCCATAAGAAAAGAGGGTCGTCAAGACATGACAAGCGCACAGACACAAGCTATGACACGATAATGCATGCATCTTCCAGGGATCCCCCTCCCCGCGCTGTAAAGACAGAGAAGGAGAGGAAGCGAATCACGGCGATCGGCTCAAACTTCGAGCCCGGATCCTGTTCGATCTTCTTTGTCTTCCCTCATGAGAAAAATACGAGCAGCAGCGCGGATGGATACATCACATTTGAAACTGGATCTGTCGAGTTCTCAAGGAAAAGCTACCCTGGCGAAAAAACGGTCGGCTAGAACATAATGAGACTAGTGTCCTAACTATTACGAAGTAGTTTCGTGCTCAATAATCTGACAGCAGCATGATGGCTTTAGGTCTCGGACTGGGGGGGGGTCCCATATCCAATTGTGGGTTGGATGGGGCCGACTACTGTCTGTTAAACACAGTAGGATTGTTTCCCCCCCGCCAAGAAAGATAAGCTAGGGGATTTCAACTGTCCTGTACGGAGTATCTTGGTCTAATATCTGGACTATCGACCCCGTACGCAGCGTTGCTTATTAGGATCAGCCAGCTATTTTTGTACGTCATGATTTAGACCAATATGAGCGCTACCGCTCGCCATGAAAGGTTTTCTCTTTTTGTTGTCTTCAATTGACGAAGATCTGCGCGAGTTTGCATCGAGTGTGAATAAGCTGCAGTAGTTGATGCTCTGAACGGACAATGCTTAGGTAGATTCTTTATTTGGGGCAAACGAGAGCAAAAACCGGCTCCCTACAGTATCGATGCCGCTTTGCCGATGTGCATGTTTTATGCTGTATGGCGAGTGAATAAGGCCCCCCCCCCCCCAATAGACTAGAACCCTCCCCTACATCCTTTTGCGGTCTGGTAGCATTCGCACTGTCCGCAACAGTGACGAGCGGCCGCTGAAAGGAAGCTTGCGGTGTCGCAGAAGGTAAATTTCTGGACGGTGGCCTCTATAACGAATGATGGTCGCGTCAGTGGCAGCACAGCAGCAGCGCCTTCGCGGTCGCACAGGCTGGAGGTCACTCAGGCCTTTTGGAGGAAATCGGACATGTGCCACAGGCCAATTGCGTCTCAAGTCCACGGGATGTGCATACAGCACTCTATTTGCAGTACCCAATCGCCGGAGAGAAGCCTGGGGTTGATCGGTGATAAGGATACGTGACCCTCTGAGTTGCGGGCTTACTCGCTTCGGAGAGCTTGCCTATAGTTCTGGGCCGATTATGGCCGCTCGGGAAATATTTGAAGACAGGCGCAAAGGATGAATTAACTTGCGAGGGAAGGATGTAAGATCATGGGATCGGATAGGCGATCTGGGGAGAGAATTTTCATGGAAATGGCTAGCTGGTCAGTCACGGCCTCCATCTCTGGTGACAGCATCATGAGACGAATCGATGCCAGGGTGGTCACTACCTGATCATCCCGATCATGAAAAGCGATTGGAGGATTCCGTACGATCGTTTCGCTTTGTGCGCCTGATGACTCCATGATTATTAGACCCCTACCTTACCTCCCCAAGTGCTGGAAATCGACTAGCATACACATAGCCTATGCAAGTTGACGGGGGATTCCATGTTGGCAAGACCCGACACTCTGGTTACTGGACGATCTCTCGCAGGATAGTTCTAAGCGAATTGCTGGAGTCATAAACTTAAAACAGGACTATCAAAATTCATTCGGGTAAAGAAGGGGTAAACAGGGTGCTGAGCAACTGCATAAGACGTTTGCTTTCTGTAACCCCCTACTCCGGTCGTCGGTGAAAGATATGATTCACGTATGCTAAGTGACGATCGGATACGGCACGGAGATCCTCCCTGATCGTTCAAACGCCATCGAATGCCTCGGAAAGTGTGATAGACCCGAATTCGTAATCCAGAGCTGATCGAGAAGACACCCAGAAGCTGTACTGAGCACGTAGGCTGCATTTATTCGGGATCTACGGAGTGTGGACTACTAGTCTCTGGCTCTATCAGGGCTCTCCTAAGTCTTCAAGGGGATGGTGGCCCCTGAAGTCGATCCTCACGGCGCGTCTTCGAGCACTGACAGGATGGCATCACGATCGTCCGGGGCAAGCCCCTTTCTAGACGACAGCTCCGGACGGAACTGGCATTTGCCTGAGTGTCTAAGCGCCTAAGCAGTATCAAGAAGTCAGACACACGAGGAATCATTCATCGTTATTCTGCAATCAGAGTGGGTCCAAACAGACGCTGGTTTGTGATGATGTGATATACGCAACTTACAAGGTACGTTTAGTTTACTTCCTCCAAGCGAGAGAATCTGGTCTTTTGGGTAGACTGCCATGTTAAATGACTCTGCACCCATATGACAACTGTCCTGTGGATATTGATCACATCGGGTACCTAAGTACTTGAGTGCTCAGTGTGTGCAGCCAGCTCGGAAAAGTGAGTGTCTCGAAGGCCGGGGCGGAGCAGCAGTGCCAGTAGTTGAGATGGGGCCGCTCTATTCGGTGCGGACCGTTCAAGTGGGGCGGATTGAAACTTTTCCAGCGTTTCCACTATTCCACTCAGCCGCCGCCTTCATTTGGGTACGTACTCCGTACGGAGAGTGGCACGAGAGTCCGACTCTTGGGCGTTTCCCTCTGTGGGCTACCCAGTAATGAGTAAGATGATGGAGCCTCGAGCCGATGCCTGCATCCCGAACTCTGAAGGAGAAAAGTGGGGCGTGATGTATGGTTGGCTCCATTGTGCAGGGCTAGACTATAAGAGCGTAAATTGCCTGAAGGACCATGGCATGGATCAAGGATCAAAGGTGAGAGACCATGGATCAAGAAGCAGGGATCATGGATCATGTCCGGTCGGCACTGGCCAGAGACGGAAAAGTCAGGCGCAGGGACCACCCGTACCAAGCCAGTAACTGCTAAGGTATGGTATGCCAGTGGCCCAGTAGTCATGTAGTGTGACTGTGCCGGGCTGTACAGTACCTTACTGATTCACTCATACTTTTTTTTCTTTTTTTAAAGGATTTAGTGGTCGTACTTTTTCCCGACCCCCGGAGATGTGCCGCATCAGCCTGAGGGCCTAAACGCTTTTGCTGCCTCAGGGCCACCCGCCCGCTGCAGATCCGACCATCCAATTTTATTCTGGAGGCGGTGCTGATGGGTTTTCAAATCCCGACTCCTACTTAGTTAAGTAGTGATCAGCAGTACCTCGATCGGTGCCAGATTTGCTTTTCCGCTCACACAATTAAGGTTTTATCTCCTGGGTTCGGCCGGTAATAATGGTTCCATTCGGTGATTTCCTAGTGCCAGTAATAAACCAACAGTAAGCCAGGGCCACCATGACTAAGATTCTTCGTGATCGCAAATAGTTCCAAAATTATGAAAGAGGGACGAGGGAGGAACAGAGTGTGTATGTATCATTGAATGCATCGATAGATTGGGTTTGCAAGTGTTCAGCAAACCCTGCTCATAATGCTATTTATTCAAGTTTGCGTTCGGTACCCTAATGACGGATCTCCTCAAATCCCAGGTTTGAAGATTATAATTGTCTCCATTCGATAAATGATTGGCTCGCCGTGCGAATTGCGTATGCAGGCTGCAACGATAGCTCAAAGGCAAAAAATACCCTTGTGTGGTGGTGCCACCTGCTGAACTACTATCTTGGTAAGTATCGATACCATCTTGTAAAGTTCGGCGGTTTTATTCTGCCCTCCCAGCCTCGGTCGGGTCGAAGGTGGCCACAACAGCATCTATGGATCGCATTGATAAGTAGGTGACAAGAAGTTCTGAATGACTTAAAGGAAAATAATCTGAATCGTTTGAGATGCCAGGTATGCTGGATTAACCAAGTGATAACACTTAAGCCAAGCAAGGCGCTGGGGTTGCATCTGCAGGATGGCAGGAAAGGGCGCATTGACCACCCCCACTGGCCTGTTGTCATGTATTTTGCGCCCCGAACACCTGGGAGAAGCAACCGATCCGCCGGACTGGGAAATCCTAACTTCATGACCCATCACGGCTTCTGTAGCTCCTCCATGTGGTCAAAATGAACATGGGTAGCACTCGGGTACTTACTTGTCGCAGGTGAGGTTCATTGTTTGGAATACCGTGACCGCGCAGCCGATTGTCAAGTGTCAACAGCATCCCCACCGCGGAGAGTGTATATCCCTAAGGATTACACCTCAGGGTTCAATGTACTACCGGGACCATTGGCAACTTCAGCAGCTTCCCATCGGAGGGGCCATGTCCTCCAACGTTCTATGTCCAATCATGCACCCCGTCAGCACAACGACTCAGCTGCAGAGAGTGTCTACCAGTAGTATAAGCGATAGGAAGTATACCGCGCCAAACGGGATGAGTAAAGGAACAAGTCCATGCCTTCGACAGCCGGTACCTTGCTTTTGAGTTCGCAAGCATCGTGTCAAGGGGCAGGGGGAGGGAGACTATCCATGCATCTTACTGGCTGTCTCAAGCTCCTAGCAGAGGAAGAATCGCCTTACTCAGTACAATCCACTTGCGAGAATGATGGTCCAATTGCCTTGATATTCGTACCTACTAGAATAGTACTTAGTACTTACTGTCTGCCATTATTTCCTTCATGATTCAGTGTATGTGTATTACTACCGGGTATTACACAGCCCAGCATAGAGCCCACTGAGAGACCTCTTCTAGTACTCTTTCAGCTTAGTGCCTCCGCTACTAACAGATTCCTGTCCATTGAGGTCGCATCGCTTAGAGAACAATCATGGATGTCAGGATACTAAGCTGTTCCTAGCTAGCGAGATCAATAGCTGCGACGCTTACCAACTTTAGTTGGGCTTTACAAGTTCAACCGTGGTAAGGACTAAGAAGAAGATTCAATATCCGCCCCGGAGGTTATTCCGTCCGGTCGGTCGCACCCTAAAGCACCCTAAACTACGACATCACAGCCGTGGCCCTCCAGGTTTCTCCTCCCCGGAAGCCCCAGAGTCAGTCAGTCAAGTCTATCAGCCCCACTAAGTTACAACGCATACTACTCATACCACATCAATATTAATATTATTCTTCTGATATTATTTTGATGGAGGTAAAGGGGTTTTTTTTTTTTTTTCTAGCTGTCAATATTGATTCTATCGAGTATTTTTTGTTTTCCTTGTGATTAAGGTTCTACGGAGGAAACCTTTCAGCACCTTTCGTCCATTTGGCCCCCTCCGCGAGTTCATCGGCCGGTCGCATTCACAATTAATGAAGACCCGTGGAAGTGCCATCGAGCCCATTGCCTTAGACGGTGGATCAGCTACCAGTCTAGCTTGTCCCAGTGTCCACCCCTCCGGCTCCAGCTAGTGCCGGATTTGGTTTTCTTCAACTTTTGCCCGTGAACCCGAACAATTGGTTAATTTACAGGATTAGACTATGAGGTATGGTTACCTGCTTTTCATGACTTGATAAGTAGATAATGATCTTTTATTAAATATTAGCTGCTAAGTGTGACACTTCTAGGTTGTCAGTTTCTTGTTATCATCGTTCTCTCCGTTACTGAATACCAACCTTCACCTCCTCTTCTGCAGCTCCCCCCCCCGGGTAGGATTAGAGTTTTTGGGATGATGAGGGACGATACGATACCATCCATTTCCGCCATTCTTTGCGGGCATCAGACCGAAGAGCCGGAGGTGGGCCGCCCGATCCAGAAAGCAGGGTAATAATATTATTAGCCAGTACGGAGACTCAGTAGGTATTCTTCTCTTCATACTTCACTGGCATAGTAGAAGTTGTTTTTTAAGTCAGTTAGATTGGGTAGTTGTGACCAAGGTCCACGTATTATCATTTCGGCTTGTTCTCCCCTCCTTAGTTCACTCTCGGCGGCTTGCTTAGTTCCAGTTAGTTGGTTAGTTACCTTAATCAAATTAGTACTATGTCTGTGAGGTAGTTTAGTTAGTTACTTGGTTTTAGTTACTTCAGTACATACATACAGTACACAGCTGACTCTTCCTCTCTCTCTCTGCCTTTCCCCCCCTCTCTCTGTGGAAATCTAGTCGGGTCTAGTCTTGTCACACTCTTTCTTCATCTTCCTCCTCCATCCCCATCTTGAACATCCTCTTCCCTCCTCCTCCTCCTCCTTCTACTACTCACTACCCCCCCTCCTATCCTCCCTGAAAATTCGCACGGGTCAATCGCTCTGGGCTATTATCTGTTTCCCCCCCCAGCCCAGTTCGCAGTTGTCCCCAGTTCGATTTTCTTCCTTCCTTAATTCTCTTACTTCTTGTCCGTTGCGACGCCCGCTTCACGTTTATTTGCTACTTCTTAACCTTCTTGGCTCGGTCGCTGCAGCGAATTCCTCTCGTTTGCCCCCGTTCTCGCCTCCACCCCCTCCTCCTACCACACTCTTCCGTTTC